CTTTTACCGTGATCACCAATGACTCGTCCCCCAGCAGAGGTAATGACCCGGGTAATGAACACACACGATGGACTGATGCTAAAATGGTCTCAAACCATCTGCTGAGGCTTTTTCTGGAAAATTAGTTTCCTTTTTTGCTTAGTGTTTTTGTTTTATCAATCTTCGGGTTACTGCCTCTAAATTAGACTTGTTTATCAGTGTGACACATCATGTGAGGTCATCATGCACAACAATGAGTGTAGATTCATGTGTAATATTTAGGCTTTATTTAAGGAAATATAAAACAGCCTCTTTCAGAACAAAACAAAAGGTGAGGTATTAAAAAAATGGGTGCTATGTGTTGTATGTTGAGGACTGCAATTCTACTGGATCAACGCATCAATATTAATCCAGAATACTGTGAATTAAAAAGGGTGTATTAACCTGCGATTGTAAATTTATTGGTCAAGATTAGCTGGAATAACAACATGGAAAGTGTTTTGCTTGTGTTGYTGACAGGAAAACTTGCAGGGTGAGATTTATCACCAACATATWTGACTTTATAGATAAATCTACATAAAAAATGCTGGTCTTGTTTGACAAGTCTAACTTATTTCCTGCTTTTAAACTCTTATTTTAAAAACTATTGAATGAGATTTGCATTAAGTTGTGTTTTGACCCCATGCAGGCATGCTGTAAGTTGGTCGTTGCAGCTCTGCAGAGATTGTCACCATGAAGGGCCCCAGCTCCATGTTGGCCCTCTCATTTGGCTTCGTGGTGGGGGCCTGCAGCATGTATGTCCTCCTGCACCAGGTGTGGTTGGAGCAGAGCTACCCGCTTTTGTCAGAGGCTCAGGAAAGGGCCATGGTGATGGAGGAGAAGCCAACAGGCTGGAGGAAGGAGGGAGCTGCACTCTACCTGATCCACCCTCATCACGCAGGTATGCTCTGTTTTCCAGGAGACTCCAGCTGCTGAAATCAGTTAGTGTAAATCTACAGACAAATCTTCATAGTGATTATTTACCTCTGAATTTAGAGCACGGACTGTCTTGAACCACCATAATTTAAGCATCTGTTCAATCAAAAACTTCAGAAGAAATGGTTCAAGAAGCTAAAACATGATTTAATCTATTATCACCTGCCGCCATTAAGGTAGGTGTCAATGTAATCGCCTGTGTCTCTCTGTGTCTGAGCATGAGCGTATATTCACATGATTGTTAGCAAAATATCTCACGAKCCACAGAACTTATGAAAATTTGCAGAGTAGTCATTAGATTTACATCTAGAACTTATTACTCAACCTAATTCAAAATAGCTGCCACAGCCTATAAACCTAACTAAACCAAAAATGACTCTTCTTCAGTTATTCTTRCTTCTCATATTAGTTGTGACAGTAACTGAGACTTCTCTCCAACACATACTCTGGTTGATAATTGATCTTGCAAGATCTTTGTTTGAAAGTTTGGCATGCAAAGCAAAGTGCATTTATATCTTAACTTCTTCCATAAAAAACTCAGTATTTTATCTGTCACTTTCTAGTATTTTAAAAATCTTTATTCTCTGTGTTATCAGTTTATTTTTTAATTTTTTTATTATTTTATTGAAATTCATTTCAGTAAATTTGCCTCCTTGAATTTCTTTCAACATAGTCCTCTGCAACTGTACAAAGAAAACCACAAATTTATCTAAAAGGAACAAACTTCWAACAGAAAAAGGTTTAATGATGGTTACAGAACTTGTTCAGAGGACCTGCTCAACTTGTCTTAGACTTTTCTACCTTGATTATTGAGATGCATCTGAACTTTGGATTTGAGCAAACATGGCGAGGAGAAAAGTTAGGCAAWAAGTCCACCGAGAAATAATCAGAGTTTTTAGCATTTTTACATATTGAAGAGAGAGGGAATAAATAATGGGACTCTTCTTGTAGATAAATTTTAAAAACAATGTTAATTACATTAATTTAATTTCTTGTATAAATTCAGTCTGAATGCTTATTGATGATTAATATAGCTGAAAGCAGTTGAATTTTAACAGTTGTGGTAGAACCCAACATTAGCTGAATGATTGCAGAAATTTGCTAAAAAAAAAAAACCTAAACTGTGAAAACACAAGCTTCAAGGGGCAGAGAACAGCTGAAAGATGCAGAAATGTGTAGGCAAAAAGTAAAAGGAGAAGAAATATAGCTGACAGGAACAGAAAAAGTGGAAGAGGGAAGAATGAAAGTAAAAGGAGCAGCTAATGCTGCTAACGCTGCTGAAGATGGTATTTAAAATTTTAATCCAAAATGTGTTCATTGAAAAGAACATGGATGGTACCTATGGTCCGGAAGCTCAAACTCTGGCCTTCAAGTTTATGTTTGTAGGGAAGCGTTAGCAGAGTTAACAGATTTAGCAGCGTTTTCTTTTGTCTCAGATTGATGATGTCATAACCAGAGCCAAGCACCAACAGCAAAGGCTGCATTCCACTCCAAAACACTTAAATTCAAGGGAACAATAGAAAAGTTTAAAGTAGCAAAAAAAGAAGATGAAATTAGCAGAATAGCAGGAAAGTTCAGGTAAAAAAAAACAGAAAAAAGCCTAAATCAGCAAAATAGAAGCCAAAGGAAGCTGAAATAATCACAGAAAATTAAAAAAAAAAAACACAGAACCAGGATAAAATTTAAAAAGTACAGTAATCTTTATAAAAAATTTGAAAGGTTGAAGACAGCTTCATTCATTTTCAATGAGAAAAAAAGGGCMGAAAAATCCAAATATCTACAAAACTATAATGCTGAAGGACCAAAAGCCATAGCCAGAATGTCCTGAAGGAGCTGGATGTTTAGTTATGTAAGTTGTTGAAATAGCACAGAAATTTCAGAACAAGATATGCGTCGAAAAATGTACAGAAGAAAAAAAAAACATGTCAGTTGTTTGAATAGCTTTACAATGACTGAAAATGAGCTAACTACATTAGTGCGRAACTGGAAAATGTGAAACAAAACTGATGAAACTTTGTTTCTGTTTTCCTCTAGATGAAGACAGCCTGGTGGCGGACACGCTGTACCAGAAGGTGCGTGTTCTCTGTTGGGTGATGACAGGGCCGCACAACCTGCAGAGCAGGGCCCGCCATGTCCGAGCCACCTGGAGCCGCCACTGCAACGTTGTTGTGTTCATGAGCTCCGTGGAGGACCCCAGCTTTCCCACCGTGGGCTTGGGCACCAAAGAGGGCCGCGACCAGCTCTACTGGAAAACCATCCGAGCCTTCCACTACGTGTACGAACACCACGTGAACRACGCAGACTGGTTCCTGAAAGCTGATGACGACACCTTTGTGGTGGTGGACAACCTGCGTTGGATTCTGTCCAACCACACCCCCGAAGAGCCCGTCTACTTCGGGAAGCGTTTCAAGCCTTACTCCAAACAAGGCTACATGAGCGGAGGCGCGGGCTACGTGCTTAGCAAGGAGGCCCTGAAAAGATTTGTTGAAGGTTTTCGGACTAAGGCCTGCACTCACACCACCCCGGTTGAAGACCTAGCGTTGGGACAGTGTTTGGAGAAAATGGGCGTTCTGGCTGGGGATTCCAGAGATACTTTGCATCGAGAAACCTTTCACCCCTTTGTGCCGGAGCACCACCTGACCACCAAGTTCTCCAAGAGCTTTTGGTACTGGAGCTATTGCTACTACCCGATTGTTGAGGCAAGTCCATTTGCATGTCTTGGCTGTTTACTGGTTGCAGGGTTCAGTGCTGGGAAGTGGAAGCATTTGTTGGTATAACCAAATAGCATCAAAGCCAGTTACAGATAGTTCCTATTAGGCAGATGTCCTGCGTGTGGATTAGCCTCTTAAAGAAGGGCAGATCAGGTTAAGAAGACGTGCAGGTAAGARGCTGAACCTCAAGGTCAAAGGTCATTTATTTGTGTTCATTTCATTTTCAAAAGGGAGAGAGATCTCTCATTTAAAATATGTTTAGTAGTTTCTTTTTTCTAATTGAAAATGAGTATTATTGAACGAATTGTTTTGCCACAATAACAAGAGAAATGTATTGATTTGAAGAAAACATAACTATCACCAGCCACCCTGAAAGCTGGTAATCATGGAATTGTATGTTGTTTTGTTTGTCTGTGAGCAAAACATCTCATAAACAAGTCAGTGTTTCCCCTAGGAAATTGGTCTTGGGGGGGGGGGGGGGGG